TTTTTTTTTTTTTTTGTTTTTTCGAATGACAATTTTATTTTATTTTATTTTTTTGTCATGGAAACACATTTTAAAGATGTAATTTGATATGTGGTGTAACACATGTGTTTAAAAGAATGAATTCCGGTAAGAAACGTGTTAAGTAAAAAAAAATAAAAATATATCAGGGTCATAAAATTTGATGATCTAACGGCATAAACAAAAAAAGGCCACATTTTATACTCATTACAGGGGCGGATCTCTGGAAAATAAAGTCAGGGGAAATAGAACAATTAATTTAAGAAGCCGAATTGTGTTCGTATGAATCGTGAAAACTCAAGTTCAACTCGCTAATATATTTAAACGAGCAAAGTTATAATAATTATTCGAGCTTATTTTTTGAATGAGTTGAGTCAATTTGGGCTTATTATATGGACCGACTTCGAGTTCACATTTTTGTTCGTTTATTAAATAGTGTAGTCGAGTCTATTCATTTATTAAATGAGCACAAGCTTGAGTATGAGGTATTTAACTTGACTCAGGTCGAATGATATCTCTAGAAGACTATATAATTTTTAATATCTCTCTTTCTCTCATTTATGTTAATGTATTTTCTATAGTTTACAAAAATATACAGAGATTAAGTATAAACATAAATGAGTATAAACAAAATTCTACAGACTTATCTCTCCACTTAACAATATATACAGAAGTTTGGTAAAAGAAATACTTATAAGTCACCTCGTCCTCAATACAGTTACATCATATCGTGTCGTACACACACACACATATATATAAAAGGATGAGTTCCGATAAGAAAGATGCTTAATGAAAGTAATAAGAATATATCTCAGCTATAAAATAAATCTGATGATCCAACAATAAAAGAAAGACAATACTTTTTATACTCATTAAGGATATCTCCTTAGCAACCAGGGTATTCTCATTTCTTTCATTAAGCACCATTCTCATGTGAGCGCGACCCTATATATATACACATACATACATACATACATACATATATTTGTTCATACATAGGACTTACTAATAAACAAAAAATAACTAAATGTCAAATATAGACCAAAAAAAAAAAAAA